AGTAGTAGTAGTAGTAGTAGTAGTAGTAGTAGTAGTAGTGGTAGTGGTAGTAGTAGTAGTAGTAGCAGCAGCAGCAGTAGTAGTAGTAGAAGAAGAAGTGGTAGTAGTAGTAGTAGTAGTAGTAGTAGTAGTAGGGCGGTAGTAATCGCAGCAGCAGCCGTTAAGCGCGCAGGTCAAGCCGTAATCATTACAAAATAAGGGCCATCGTAAAGTTGGACAAGCACATTTAGACACGAGAGGGGCCGTGATTCTCGCGACCACGAGCCCCAAACCCTAAACCCTAGTCCCCAGGGACTGACCCTGCAGCCCTGACTACTTAGATCTCACGACTTGCACACACCCAGCCGCCGAGGCAGCGGCGTGGAGCTTGTATAGGTATTCTTAGCAGTAATAATAATAGTATGTGACAATGTGGCACTGTATAAAAGCATGGATACCATAACTTGTGACTACTATTACCATCCTTACTGCGATGACGAGAGGTATTTCTTTACTGCAACCCTTGGAAGAGTCTATACTTTTTCGGGCTATTGATCGTGTATTGCATGTTATAGTGCATTGTAATACGTTCTAGTCTGTGGTACAGTAGATGTGTTATAGTGTATTGTAATTTGGGGGTGTCGGCAAACGGCTTGTCGCTGGTGGATTCTGCAGCATGAAGTAATCAACACTTGACAGGAGGAGATTTAGCCCTTAACGAGTGGCGACTTCACCTTGATTCCACCCGCCATTTAACGCTTATCTCGATTAACCCTTAATCGCTGCCCACTTAATATTCGCCGTACAACAAACGGGCTGCTTGGGTCTTATCCCAGCCCATAGCATGAGAATCGACGCGTAAACTCGTTTAAACTGTTTTGGCAGTCGTCCCCCCCCCCCCCCCCCAGATATTTGACCCGTAAGTGGCCTTAGAGTAAGGTTAAATCCGACGCGGAACATACAGAATAAACATCTGGATTCCTAGGAGAAGAACGACGATTCAACTCTCATATCCCTCGGAAAGTTAACCCTGACGTGGTGGGAGGGGGGGTCAAATTTCTGGCGGGGTGTAGCCGTCAATGTGGCCAACAGAAATGCCTCCGCTATCATAGTTGATGACATCATGCGGGTGTGAGCACATGTAAACAACTTATGATCGCCGGGGGGTCCCTGTCTGCGCGAACAGCATGGTCGCTTGTAATTCCAATCTTCTCTAGAACAGAGAAGTGTGTAGTAGTACTCCAAAACAAAGCATAAATCCGGGACCGGGTAAGGGTTAAATACCCAGAACGAAGGGCTCAATCAGTTCAATCCCAGAACTGACAAGGGTTGAAGTAACCAAGGTCTTAATGGCTGAAGACGTCCGCTCAAAGCTCGACAAATTATTCTATGTCTCTGTATATA